TCGTCACAATGCGTCGTCAGGGGGTAATGTGTCGTCAGGGGGCAATGCTTCATCAGGGAATGTGTCGTCACAATGCGTCGTCAGGGGGTAATGCGTCATCAGGGGGCAATGCGTCGTCAGGGAATGTGTCGTCACAATGCGTCGTCAGGGGGTAATGTGCCGTCAGGGGGCACTGCGTCGTCAGGGAATGCGTCGTCACAATGCGTCGTCAGGGGGTAATGCGTCGTCAGGGGGCAATGCGTCGTCAGGGAATGTGTCGTCACAATGCGTTGTCAGGGGGGCCGGGGTCATCGCCAATGTGTCGTCACAATGCGTCGTCAGCGTCAGCGCCAAACGTCAGACCCAAGCTGCGGGGCCCTGCAATAAAAGAAGGCATGAGGTCAATCATGGTCAATCCACCTATCAAGGCAGGTTTTACTTGAGTACTTCTGTGTAGGACATAGCTTTAGCACTCTTGCGCCAATACGCCCACATGAAAGGGATGAGGTCAAGACCGAAAAGTCCATGCTTACATGCTGTGAAGCTGCAAATGGCGGTTCGCCATTCACAGGCCTGAGAATTCCGTTCGGAGCCTTGGTCTATTTTTAGCTTTTAGTCCAAGAACTTTTCCTGGTATATTTGTGGGATGGAGGGTAGATGCGGGTTTCGTGCATAGAAATGTTCATCTAGTCCTGGATTATGAAACCCCCCGTTCAAAATCAAAAGGGTTTGGCCGACCTATCCAAGTGTATGCCACAGAATTGGTTGAACCATCCGAAGGGAGCTTATTTTTTTGTGTATGAAGCATCGGTTGCAAAGTTGAATCTGTTTCAACCCTCAATCAAGTTGCCGTCCATTGCCGGGCGAGAAGCTTTGCCTTTCGAAGGCCCTGCTCCGCCTCCAGCTGTTCGCAAACGTAAAACGTATGTGACATTGGAATGTGCAATCATGTGTGGTAAAACGATTGGGTGCAAAGGTTGTGACCGAATTGCCGAGGGCGTACCTTAGTAATTTAGGGGGCTTTTGGGAATATGACAGTTTGAATTCAGCATGGAAAATGAATCATATTTTTATTAGACTTCGAAAAAGACTCTATGCTCCTGTTGGTAAGGACTGTCCTTCCAGTGGGGATGAAATCGGTTCTCAACGTGTCACAGAATTGAAATGCAAAGGTGTTGTTTCGGTTTATAAAGATGATTGGCAAGTACATCCTCACCAAAGGATTTCTTCTAAAGGTTGGACTGGGGCAACATGGCTTTTCCCAAACAAAAAGGTAGACCATTATCATGCACATGTGCAAGCATGCCAGGCCAACATAGCCAGATCCGATGGAGCCTCCAAAATGTTTGCCAAAAAGAGTGATTGATTATTTCTTATCTAGCTGCTGAAATTCAGCAAGCAGCCAAAGGCCAAAGGCGTATAGATCAAGTCAAGCCGTCCAAAGCTAGGAAAGCTAGAGGGTCGAACCCCAAAGTAATGTTTGAATTCTGTTGTTCTGAAGGCTCCGCACTCGGCAAAGCCAATAAGGAAAGAAATATCGGTCACATCAGGTTGACTGAAAAATCTTCGGACATGTCCAATGATAAAGAAGTACGAGACTTGCTGAAAGTCATGAAAATGTTCCCAGGAGCAGATCTTTGGGGGCCAATTCCTTGCGGCCCATGGTCCCCTTGGCAGGACTTAATCTTGCAAAGGGTGGTAAGGGGCATGCAAAGAGACTCAAAGCCGCACGTAAGAAGTCCTGAAAATCTTGAGAAACTACATACGCTGTGCAGAGCAGGTGTTGCAAGATGGTGGACATGTGAGCTTTGAGTGGCCCAGGGGATGCTCTGGCTGGTCAAGTGCAGAGCTTGTGAAGTTTATCAAAAAGCATGATGTGTTTGTAGCCGAGCCAGATGGATGCGCATTCAGTTTGAAGGGTGATGATTATAAACCTTGGAGGATTGTAACAAGTTCGTATCAGCTGGCAAGAAACCTCGATGCGTACAAATTCACCAATCCACCGAATTTTAAACATTCGCACCTGGCAGGTTCTAAAACGCCTTAGTCTGCTTTCTATACCGATGAAATGGCACAATGCATTAGTCACCCCTTGTACTCCGATCTAGTACCTTCTATGCCTGTAACACCCATGCAGCCATCACCAACCGACAGCTGTTGAAGTTGATGCAGGTATCCATCTCTTGATCGACAGGAAGGAATGGCACAAGCAGGAAGGTTATCTTGAAGTAATCAAGAAAGGGCGGGATGGTGTCTTGGAAAATGGTACTTGGAACTATGACGAAGTAGTGCCTAGAGACGAGCTCATGAAGCGCAAAGAGCATATCAACATAGGTAGACTCATGACAATACTTTCTGTGAAAAACACCAGCGCTTAGAAAGCTTAAGGCCCGAATAGTGTTTAGAGGGGGCGACATAAGGGACAACGAAGGAAATCTTGCCGTTTTGTTGGAGTCAAAAGTGAACCCAACGGGGATGGCTGGCATCAACGCCAACCTTGCTTACGGAAGTTTACCAGAGCACAAAACAACGCAATCAGATGTTGTCCGTGCTTACCTTCAATCATGGTTGGGAACACAAGTACCAACTTGGGCCGAGTTGAGCCCTGAACTGGATCCTGATGAGTTCAAACATATCAAGCGACCATGCGTCCGACTATGGCGGCTTTTTTACGGCCATCCAGAAGCTGGGCATCATTGGGATATGAGGGTCAGAAAGATCATGACATATTTTGATGCCAAAAAAACATTTCGATACTTTCCAAAGTAAGTTCTAGATCACAAAATATAAACCTTTGTTGGGCCTAATTATATGTAGATGATGTAGTGGTATCTGGACCCTCGTCACAACTTAAGCTCTTTTGGGATGAGATGCAACGCCACTTGGAGATGGATGAGCCAACTGAAGTCAGCCGGATTCTCGGCCGAGAGCACAGCATCTCTAGAAGCAAGGAAAAGAACAACTTGTACCTGTGAAATGACCGACTTCGTTGATAACTGTTGTGAACTGTATGGACGCTTAGCAACCGAAAGCTAAAGCCTGCAGCATCACCATGCGTCAATGATGGGAGTTTATTAACTGGTTTCGATTGGGATACAAAGGGTCTGTGTCAGCAGAAGCATCTCGCATACTCATGAAAGTGTTGTGGTGTGCCTGGCTGGCCAGGCCTGATCTCAATAAGGAAACTCAGATCCTACACGTAGACTTACGTGTTGGAGTTGTTGCAGACGATAAGCGCCCTCAAAGATTGATGAGTTGCCTTTTCGGATCTAGAAAGTTCACTCTCAAAGGTCACATAAGGGACCCACCAGAGTTGTGGCGTTTGTGTTGTTACACTGATGCCGATCACTGTTCTGCACAAGGCGATACCAAATCCACAAGCGGTATGTATGATCATGATGCTGGAAGGTCCACATTCATGGTGGCCACTCTCATGGGCAAGCCGCAAGCAGACATCAACCGCACGCAGCACCACCGAAGCCGAAATGGTGTCTTTGGGTGCAGGTCTGTTGGTTGAAGCACTGCCAATGCAAGAGCTCTTAGAGACAGTCTTTGGCAGGCAGGTTGAACTAGTATGTTACCAAGATAACTCTGCGGTCAGACAAATGGTTGCTGCCGGGTATAGTCCCAAACTCCGACACCTAAATAAAACTTTCCACATTAATTAATCTTGGTCCAATTGATGAAGTCTTCAAGGAGAATGATGATTGCCCTTTGCTTTACATCAAAACTGAAATGCAGAGGGCCGATCCGTTTACCAAACCACTTCCTGTGGCAAAGTGGCCGGAAGCTCTGCAACAACTAAATGTTCAAGTATCAACGTAGCAGTATCGACGTAGCCCATAATCTTCCCATAGGTTGTCTTATATACAGTCGGTCAGTCTTGTCTGTCTGGGCGCAAAGGGTGAGATGATACGATCTGCCATCTACAGGCACACCTGGAAGCGAGTTGCACTTGTGCACCGCGACCATTGGCAACTGTGGCAGCCAGAGGTCAAATCACCATCCAAGTCTTTACAGGTGTCCAACGCCAAAAGGGGGAGAAGAAAAATTACGAGTAAAATGCCTCCTCATGTAGTGCAGTAGTGTCACCAACATATGCTTCCATGCGGCCGAAGTAGATTGGATTTCACAACTGGTAACATTTCATATCACTCCTTTTGGGTGTCCATAATGGTCCCGAAAAGGAGCCCCAAAACGATATTTCCGGACACCACATTTTTTAGTGCATGAGATCATGTCAAAGACATGATTCTAGCAATCGGGTTTGCTTGCACTCGTATAAAAACATGTCCACTTGTTTTCATTAGTTAACTTCCAGACCTAACAGCCAGCGGGTGGGTCAAAAAAATCCCACTTGACTTTGGCTCAAGTGTGAGAAAACAGGCGGCGGCTCGCTCAACAGTGTTGTTGAGGGGCCGCTTGCCATAGCTGAGCCACTTTTCAGTGCGTGCGCAGGTCTTGTTTGGCGTTTCCATCTTGGCACAGATTTGTCGGACATTTTCATCTTGTCAGACGAAGTCATTTTATTTTTTCCCTTTTGGCCAACGAAACCATTACGCGTTTTTTTTTGCGTTGTCCTTTTTTCATTTCCTTGTCTCGAAAAACGTCCTCACAGCGACCCACAAAAAGTGCACGGCCTCGAGGTGCCGAGTGCTTTCCGTGAGAAAAATTGCAACCGAAAATGATATTGTTATTTTATGTGATTTTTCCGAAAAAACAAACTCCCCTTTGTTCGCTCCTCCTGCTGCCCATGACCAAGTTCCGTCCAAACTGAAAAAGGTGCTCGCCATGATCGAAACAAGTTGGAGGTGACCATGGCCAGAACAGCAAACAACTCTGTTCGTGTCAATGAATTATAATGAATTGTTTTTGAGGGCGTGCAGAAACATTAAGTGCTCACAACGCCACTGAACATTTACTTGTTTAAAAATGTATATTCGTTCGTGCGTGTGTTTGTGTGCATATATGTAGTTTGCGATGATCCCACATTTTATTAGGTTGGCACTTCAATGTGGCAGGTTTGGCGACGAAAGCGCAGACTGCAAAGCGGCCGAGTGTCTTGAGTCTTGGCGGTAGTTTCAGTACACACGGTAAAAAAAAATTATTTTGGATTGTTTGAGCCAGGTTTTCTAAAGACCAGCTAGAATCGCGCTGGAATCGGAGAGTTCTTGCTGGGGTCCGTGGCAAAAGGACCGCTTTGAGTTTGATCGGTTTGTCCCTGTGTGCTGAACCCCGGGGACCAACGAACAGTCAAAAAATTTCACATCGTCGCCAACAAACAGTCAAAAAAACAAAGAAAACAAAAAAAAACACAACTCAACACATGAATCTGACGCATATGCAATCCAAACATCCCATATGCTGTAGCCAATCCAAGAAGCCTTTGCTAGTCTACAAGTAAAGCCCTCACAAGGCGGGTGGCGGAAGTTACCAACAGTTATAGGAGTGAAGGACAAGTTTTGCTTACAGGAGTTGGGATGAAGCCTCAACCCTTTTCGAATGTGGCAACCACTTCTCAGGCCACCTCAGTTTTTCTCAGATCCTTTTAATTCTTCTCACAGCTCTTCTCAACTGTTCTCAAGTTTTTCATCCTTTCCCGACTCAGCTAAACTCCTCTCACCTCTTCGCAGCTCGTCTCAACTCTTGTCATCTCTTCCCAGCTCTTCTCAATTCTTCTCTGCTCTTCACAGCTGTTCTCACCTCTTCTTTACTCCTTCTCATATGTTCTCAATTCTTCGCAACTCTTATCAACTAATTTCACCTCTTCTCAACTCTTCTCACCTCTTCCCACCTTTTCTCACGTTTCTTCACACCTTTTTCTCACCTCTTCTAAACTCTTGCCACCTCCTCTCAACTCTTCCAATCTTCACAAATTTGGAAATTGTTGGTGGCAGCAGAAAACTGCAGCTCAAAAACCGGGTCCGGCGCCAAAGCGACAAAAGTGCGAAGCAGTTGTTTAAAGGGCTTGTTAAAAGAAAATGAACAGCATAAAAGTTGAGAAAAATTGCAGGAAAATCACCGTCGCAACCTTGATGCACCCATTCCAATGCGATTTACGACGTCCAGTTGCAAAAGACAATAGAACTACGCGTGCAGACGCAGCAGGATTCCGTGCTAACCCGACTGTGGCTGCAACCGTCGCGCAAGCGAGCCTACTATTCTCCGATCAGTGACGTCCGTTTACCCAAACAAAAGCGCAATGTTTCGTGCAACTCTCAACGTTCAAATCCCACCCTTGATATTGCAGTTCCATTGCAATCTGCCGACAGCGGGTTGCAAAACACTACAGAATCACGAAGGAAATTTGAAGAACAAGCTAACGGCTAATCTACTTGATGCTCTTCTCTGCTTCATTCAACTCAACTCAATTCTACTCAACTCTTTTCTGCTCGAGGCTCTACCCTACGCTAGTCTACTCTACTCCACTCTACTCTACTTGTCTTCAAGAACCTGCCGGCTAAACTTTTAAAACTCTACTCCACTCCCCTCAACTCTACTTGTCTTCAAGAACCTGCCGGCTAAACTTTTAAAACTCTACTCCACTCCACTCTACTCTACTTGTCTTCAGGAACCTGCCGGCTAAACTTTTCAATCTCTTCTCCACTCCACTCTACTCTACTTGTCTTCAAGAACCTGCCGGCTAAACTTTTAAAACTCTACTCCGCTCCACTCTACACTACTTGTCTTCAAGAACCTGCTGACTAAACTTGCAAAACTCTACGCCATTCCACTCAACCCTACTTGTCTTCAAGAACCTGCCGGCTAAACTTTTAAAACTCTACTCCACTCCACTCAACTCTACTTGTCTTCAAGAACCTGCCGGCTAAACTTTTAAAACTCTACTCCACTCCACTCAACTCTACTTGTCTTCAGGAACCTGCCGGCTAAACTTTTAAAACTCTACTCCACTCCACTCAACTCTACTTGTCTTCAAGAACCTGCCGGCTAAACTTTTTAAAACTCTACTCCGCTCCACTCTACTCTACTTGTCTTCAAGAACCTGCCGGCTAAACTTTTAAAACTCTACTCCACTCCACTCTACTACTTGTCTTCAAGAACCTGCCGGCTAAACTTTTAAAACTCTACTCCACTCCACTCAACTCTACTTGTCTTCAAGAACCTGCCGGCTAAACTTTTAAAACTCTACTCCACTCCACTCTACTCTACATGTCTTCAAGAACCTGCCGGCTAAACTTTTAAAACTCTACTCCACTCCACTCTACTCTGCTTGTCTTCAAGAACCTGCCGACTAAACTTGTAAAAACTCTACTCCACTCCACTCAACTCTACTTGTCTTCAGGAACCTGCCGGCTAAACTTTTAAAACTCTACTCCACTCCACTCTACTCTACTTGTCTTCAAGAACCTGCCGGCTAAACTTTTAAAACTCTACTCCACTCCACTCTACTCTTCTTGTCTTCAAAAACCTGCCGACTAAACTTTTAAAACTCTACTCCGCTCCACTCTACTCTACCTGTCTTCAAGAACCTGCCGGCTAAACTTTTAAAACTCTACTCCACTCCACTCTACTTGTCTTCAAGGACCTGCCGGCTAAACTTTTTAAACTCTATTCCACTCCACTCTACTCTACTTGTCTTCAAGAACCTGCCGGCTAAACTGTTAAAACTCTACTCCACTCCACTCTACTCTGCTTGTCTTCAAGAACCTGCCGGCTAAACTTTTAAAACTCTACTCCACTCCACTCTACTCTACTTGTCTTCAAGAACCCGCCGTCTAAACTTGTAAAACTCTACTCCACTCCACTCTACTCTACTTGTCTTCAAGAACCTGCCGGCTAAACTTTTAAAACTCTACTCCACTCCACTCTACTCTACTTGTCTTCAAGAACCTGCCGACTAAACTTTTAAAACTCTACTCCACTCCACTCTACTCTACTTGTCTTCAAGAACCTGCCAGCTAAACTTTTAAAACTCTACTCCACTCCACTCAACTCTACTTGTCTTCAAGAACCTGCCGGCAAAACTTTTAAAACTCTACTCCACTCCACTCTACTTGTCTTCAAGAACCTGCCGGCTAAACTTTTAAAACTCTACTCCACTCCACTCTACTCTACTTGCCTTCAGGAACCTGCCGGCTAAACTTTTAAAACTCTACTCCACTCCACTCTACTTGTCTTCAAGAACCTGCCGGCTAAACTTTTAAAACTCTACTCCACTCCACTCTACTCTACTTGTCTTCAAGAACCTGCCAGCTAAACTTTTAAAGCTCTACTCCACTCCACTCTACTCTTCTTGTCTTTAAGAACCTGCCGACTAAACTTTTAAAACTCTACTCCGCTCCACACTACTACTTGTCTTCAGGAACCTGCCGTCTAAGCTTTTAAAACTCTACTCCGCTCCACTCTACTCTACTTGTCTTCAAGAACCTGCCGTCTAAACTTTTAAAACTCTACTCCACTCCACTCTACTCTACTTGTCTTCAGGAACCTGCCGTCTAAAGTTTTAAAACTCTACTCCACTCCACTCTACTCTACTTGTCTTCAAGAACCTGCCGACTAAACTTTTAAAACTCTACTCCACTCCACTCTACTCTACTTGTCTTCAAGAACCTGCCGGCTAAACTTTTAAAACTCTACTCCACTCCACTCTACTCTACTTGTCTTCAAGAACCTGCCGGCTAAACTTTTAAAACTCTACTCCACTCCACTCTACTCTACTTGTCTTCAAGAACCTGCCGGCTAAATTTTTAAAACTCGACTCCACTCCACTTCACTTGTCTTCAAGAACCTGCCGGCTAAACTTTTAAAACTTTACTCCACTCCACTCTACTCTACTTGTCTTCAAGAACCTGCCGGTTAAACTTTTAAAACTCTACTACTCCACTCCACTCAACTCTACTTGTCTTCAGGAACCTGCCGGCTAAACTTTTAAAACTCTTCTCCACTCCACTCTACTCTACTTGTCTTCAAGAACCTGCCGGCTAAACTTTTAAAACTCTACTCCACTCCAACTCTACTCTGCTTGTCTTCAAGAACCTGCCGGCTAAACTTTTAAAACTCTACTCCACTCCACTCCACTCTACTTGTCTTCAAGAAGCTGCCGACAAAACTTTTAAAACTCTACTCCACTCCACTCTACCCTACTTGTCTTCAAGAACCTGCCGGCTAAACTTTTAAAACTCTACTCCACTCCACTCTACTCTACTTGTCTTCAAGAACCTGCCGGCTAAACTTTTAAAACTCTACTCCACTCCACTCTATTCTACTTGTCTTCAAGAACCTGCCGGCTAAACTTTTAAAACTCTACTCCACTCCACTCTACTCTAATTGTCTTCAAGAACCTGCCGGCTAAACTTTTAAAACTCTACTCCGCTCCACTCTACTCTACTTGTCTTCAAGAACCTGCCGGCTAAACTTTTAAAACTCTACTCCACTCCACTCTACTCTACTTGTCTTCAAGAACCTGCCGGCTAAACTTTTTAAAACCTCTACCTCACTCCACTCTACTTGTCTTCAAGAACCTGCCGCTAAAATTTTAAAACTCACTCCACTCCACTCTACTCTACTTGTCTTCAAGAAACTGCCGGCTCAACTTTTAAAACTCTTACTCCACTCCACTCTATCACTGTCTCAAGAACTGAAGGCTACACTTTTAAAACTCTACTCCACTCCACTCAACTTACTTGTCTTCAAGAAGACCTGCCCGGCTAAAACTTTTTTTACAACTCTACTCCACTCCAATCTAACCTACTTGTCTTCAAGAAACCTGCCCGACTACAACTTTTAAAAACTCTACTCAACTCCACTCTACCTTCTTGTCTTCAGAACCTGAAGGCTAAACTTTTTAAACTCTACTCCACTCCACTCACTCTACTGTCTTCAAGAACCTGCCGGCTAAACTTTTAAAACTCTACTCCACTCCACTCTACTCTACTTGTCTTCAAGAACCTGCCGGCTAAACTTTTAAAACTCTATTCCACTCCACTCTACTCTACTTGTCTTCAAGAACCTGCCGACTAAACTTTTAAAACTCTACTCCACTCCACTCAACTCTACTTGTCTTCAAGAACCTGCCAGCTAAACTTTTAAAACTCTACTCCA